GGTAAAGTTTTAAGTATTTCAACTGAATTTCTAACTGGTAGGCAGCAGCGTGTTCATGTTGATAGTAGTTTTAGCTTGCATCCCCACGTGTCTTCTGGGTTTCCTCAGGGTAGTGCTTCTTGGCCTTTGCTCTTTATCTTAAAAAGCGATATGTGGCTTGGCATTACTAATAAAATGTTGGCATATGCTGATATAGCTGATAGTCTCACTGCAGACCTGATGATTCAAATCGTGGTGCTTTCGGTGGGGCATTAAATTAAATCCTATTAAGTCCAAAGAAATGATTGTGAGTCGGTCTCGAACGCAGTTGCCTCAGCATCCAAGTCTGCTGATTAATGGAGTCTCAATCACTTCAGTAGATAACTCAAAGCTTACATTTGAATTGTATATTAGGAATATGGCTCGGGTAATTTCATCAAAGTTAGGTATCATTCACAAGTGCAAAAAGATGTATGAAGAAGACAACATTACACGTAGGTGCTTCTTTTCTTCTATTCTGCCTCATTTTGAGTATTGTTCTCCTGTATGGTTATCTGCTGCAGACACACTTAAGACTACTTGATCGTTCTTTTAATTCCATTAAACTTCTCCTGTCTGACTTAAGTTTGGACATTGGACATCGTAGAGTTATTGGGGCTCTTTTATGCAATGAATGTGTTGAAGCCGACCTCGAACGTTTTCCCGAAGAAAATCATATGCAAAGTCAACAATATTAAAAGGAATGGAGTGGTTTTGTGTTTATTTTCTACCCTTGTTACATCAGAATTATACACTAGCAGGCCTTTAAGAATTCGTTAAACAAATAAATCACACGAAAGTTAGAGCAGAGAGAGAGAGAGAGAGAGAGAGAGAGAGAGAGAGAGAGAGAGAGAGAGAGAGAGAGAGAGAGGAGAGAGAGAGAGAGAGAGAGAGAGAGAGAACAACAGAGACAAAAAAAGACAGGGACAGAGACAAAGAAAGAGACTGACACAGAGAAAAAGAAAGAAGTTAGAGCAGAGAGAGAGAAAAAAAAAGTAGAAACAAAAAGTTAGAGCAGAGAGAGAGAGAAGAAAAAAAGTAGAAAAGAAGAGAGAAAAGAAAGAAGTTAGAGAAGAAAGAGAGAAAAAAAAAGTAGAAAGAAAAAGTTAGAGCAGAGAGAGAGAAAGAAAAAGTAGAAAAGAAAGAAAGAAAGAGATAAAAAGAGAGAAAGAAAGAAAGAGAGAAAAAGAAAGACAAAAAAAAAAAGAAAACAAAATATCCACCCTTTCTCTACTCCAGACCCACCCACACGTCTCTGAACTTGACCCGTCTTCTCAAGGAGTCACGCCCGTCTTCTCCTCGATCCAGTCCAGATAATGGAAGACTCGGGTGAATCCGTCTGGTTCTCCGGCTTCGCACCTGCAGAAGACCCGAAGGAGGCGATGCCGTAGGTCATGCCGTTGAGGTTGAGGGGCCCGCCGGAGTCACCCTGGGGGAGGAGTAGTGGCGAGGAGTTGCCACTTGAAAAATTGTAATGAGGTTTTTTATGAATATGGTTTTTGGTTTGTATAGTTTTGATTATATATATATATATATATATATATATATATATATATATATATATATATATATACATATACATATATATATATATATATATATTAGTAGCTATATAATAAGTTATTATAGTATACATTATATATAGACATATATATATTATTTGTTATTATATATGTATATATATATCGTTAATTAGGATATATTTATTATAATAATATCTCATTATAATATAGAATACTATTTATTTAGATGGTGTGTGTGTGTGTGTTGTGTGAGGTGTTGTTGTGTGGTGGGGTGTGTGTGTGTGTTGTATAATATATATATAATAATTAATAATAGTATTTATATATATCATATACTCATCCTAACTCCTCATATACCTATACATATACAATATACATATTATATATATATATTGTATATTTATAATATTATATTATATAAATTACTAGTTCTTCTAATCATTTAATTTTTCATATCTATATTTTGTGTGTGTTATATTATAATATATAATATTTTTACATTAGTTTGCAGTATACCTATATATATATTACCTCTAATCATAAATAGTTAATATCCTATAGAATTAAGTATAACTTAATAATATATTATAGGTATATGGTGCTGTGTGGTGTATATCATAGATTATATTTCTAATATCACTTTCTTATCATATAATACTATATATATTAGTATCTAGTTCTTGTTACTTAGTATCTACTGTACTGTATCTCAATTACTTATCATAATATAATACTATATATCATATATATTCATGATTATCAGTCATCGTAAAAATAAATGACCTTCCATTGAACTAAGGTTGCACCTTCCCGCCCGCCTACTACGTGACACGTCCCCTGTCGACTTCCGGTGCTGTGCAGCCAACTTGACCTTCGCCGACGATCCCATAGATCTTATCATTTACGTCGTCGCTCTCCTATGCTACAGGAAATGTATCGCACGTCCCACCTGACGAAGGACGCTGGAGGATAGCGGTCAGCAGCCTGGGCGAAGGGGAGGCGACGAAGGAGGCGGACGAAGGAGGCGACGAACCCAGGAGCGACGAAGGAATGATTAATTAGAGAATCGTTATGTTCTTTATGTTAATTTGTGTTGTTTTTTCTCGGTCGTTTGGCTGGTCATGGGGTCTTCGTCGGTTTTCCATCTTTTTACATTTTTTTCTTTTTTTTTATTCATTTGTTGACTTCATCCTGCTGATCTAAGTCTGGTTTTTCATTCGTATAACTGCACAAAAATGTAAGTAGATGAAATGAAATAACAAGATCACTTAAAACAAATACTAACGCACACACAACAAACACTCCTTATCTTCTCCAACACATACACATCACACAGACACTAACACAAACACACAACACTATAGATACATCACCCCTCCCCCCCTACCACTAAACATACCCCATCCACACACACTAGAATTCACTAGGGAACTACTCTAATTGACTAACCCACACACACACATACACTGGCTCAAACAAACACACCTCCACACCACACAATAGATCTCAGCAAACATTACCGTCCATTTTTCTTGTCTGCTCCATCTACCACATTCTCTCTTATCTCTATCTGGTCTTTGTCTGTCTGTCTGTCTCGAGCACACATCAATACGCACATCTGCTATCCAATCATCTTCCCCCCTCCTCCCACACACACAAACATACCCCACCCCCACACACACACAAACATACCCCCTGCCACACACAAACATACCCTCCCTCCACACTCTCACCACATCAACATATCCCCCCCTCCCACCCACACACACACACACAAACATATCCTCCCCCCCTCACACAAACATACCCCCCCCCACACACAAACATACACCCCACCACACATATACCCCCCCCCACACACACAAACATACCCCACCACAACACACCAAAACTTACCCCTCCTCACCACAAACACACAACACATCCACACAACACCCACACACAACCACAAACAACACACATACACACACACACATCGAGCGCGCACAACATACCTCTCCCCGCACAGGCACACACATACATACCCCCACCACACACATTACCACCCCCACTCTGTCTGCCGGAGCCCTCCCACCCCGCCCCCTCCCCCCTACACACCGCGCTCGGGCGCGGATGGCCCGCACACCACAGGACCCACCGCCCCCCATACAACATACCCCTCCGACCGCCCCCACCCACTCCACCCCACCCACTTCACGCGGCGGATCACGCTCCGGACACGCACCCACCGGGCTCCCCACGTCGCCGCCACACAACAAGACCCCCTCCGCCACCACAACAGAGCGGCTTACACGGAACCCGATTCCTACTGTCCGAACTGGCGCCCATCCGTAGGGCAGGTCGTGTCGCTATGGTTCCAAAACATGAATATTTTGACGAAGGAAGCTTGACAGGGGCTATCGCTGGTCTGAGCGGGAAAATAGTGAGGAATGAGTGGATAGAAGAAAATAAAACATTGATAAAAATAGAGGAGTGAGTGGATAAAGAAAGGAAATATAATTGATAAAAATAGAGGTAATGAGTGGATAAAGAAAGTAACATAAAACTGATAACAAATAAGGAATAGTGGATAAAGGAAAGAAATACATTGATGAAATAGAGGATGAGTGGACTAAAGAAAGAATAAAACATTGTAAAGAATAGAGGAAATGGAGTTGGAGATACAAGAAGAAAATAACACATTGATGAAAATAGAGGAATGAGTGGGATAAAAGAAAGAAAATAAATTGAAAATAAAATAGAGGATGAGTGGATTAAAAGAAAGAAATAGACATTGATAAAAAATAGAGGGATGAGTGGATAAAGAAAGAAAATAAAACATTGATAAAATAAAGTGCAAAAATAGGCGGAAATGAGTGGATAA